GAATGTAGAAAAAGGTTTTCACAAGTTTGACTAATTAAACTAAGCAAATCCTTAATAATTGTTTGAAATTTAATAATCAATTAAGATTTTAAGGTCAAAACGGTGTGTAATCATTAGCAATTTCTAAGCCACACATCAAACAAAACTTGGAAAGATAGTAAGTAATCTTTAATATTTTCCAGAATTCTAAATGTCACATCTTACAAGTAGCCACCACCCTAATGACACTAAATAATCCGCCATGTACAAAGTTTAAATGGAGTCTACATAATTTTAATTTGCATAATAAAGCACATCTACTTGACATATTCCCTAACTTCTTCTTTTCAATCCTAAAGTAGTACATTGTCTCAGCCCATATTGATAGATGAGCGTGGCATGATCAAGCATCAAAGGACCAAAACATGGAGCGTGGAGCCCAAGCTAAAAGATGGAAGTCCAATATTCTAAAAGACCCATTACAAGGCATTGCAGGCCTAATGATAAGAGTAAGGACCAAATCTATGAAAGAGGCGCTGAATTGTTTGATAAAAGATCTTAAAGAGTTAGAGCCCATTTATTTGGAAGAAGCATCCCTCAATCAGCCCATCAAGGGTCCAAACATGGTGATTACATTGCTAGAAGCCAAACAAGATGATGTACAAGGCTCATGTGCAGTCCAGATTGAAGAATTCACTCAAAATACCATGTGACAAGCATGTGCCTTGGAGGAGGAGCATAAGTGACGTCCAAGAATATTCAAGAAGCATCAAGAAGGCGTTTTTTATGTATTAGTTATGGTTTAATTTCGTTTTTTTTAAGTTTCCATTTTTATTTGCATTAAATAAGGCCTTTTGGTCAAAGATTGTATAAGAATATTTTAGGTTAGTTTCCTATTTTTAGGTAACAGCCTTTTTCTTCAAGAAAAGGTAATTTCCTATTTCCTTTAGCCTTAATTGGTGCCAACCAAGATAGTCAATCATCATTAAGGCACATTTATGGCATTGATGACCTAGGGTTTTTTGATTCTAGATTGTTCTTTTGCTGCCTATGTAAGGCTACGTTTTTTGTAATTGGGGATCAGATTTGAATGAATAAATTTTAGAGAATTTTATTTCTCTTGAGTGAGCTTTGCTTGCCGTCTCGTATTCTTGTGGGAATACTCGACTGTATCAAGGATTGATCATCCTTGTGGTGTCTCCATGGCTAGGGTTGTAAGAGACAGGTTCTCTTAAGGTCCTACCTTCGATCGTTCGTCTAGTTTCCTAACTTGTTTCTAGTTGATCTGTATCCGTACCTTATATCATTTGGTATCAGAGCTAAGGTTTGCTAGAATTCAAGTTCTATCCTTTTATCTATTATTTTTGTTTTCTTGTTTCATCTTCTTAATTCTATCATTCGTTCTTTGTCCCTTGCTTCCATCAATTTGTTTCTTCACCTTTCCACCTCCTATTTATGTTTTTTTTTGTGACTTTTTGTGTTCCTTTGAGCAACAAAAAAAAACAGAGAGAGAGAGAAAATTCGTGCACAAAAAATTCTTGTTTATAGCAGAACTTTAGATGACCATGTTATGCACTTGTGTAAGGTGTTTAAAACTCTTAGAGAAAATAGCTTGTATGCTAGTTTTCAAAAATGTTCTTTTTGCATGGATTCTGTTGTGTTTCTTGGTTTTGTTGTAGGTGCTCAAGGGATCCGTGTAGATGAAGAGAAGGTAAAAGCTATAAGGGATTGGCCAACCCCAACAAATGCTAATGAAGTAAGGAGTTTCCATGAATTAGCAAGTTTCTATAGGAGGTTTGTTAAGGATTTTTCATCTATTGCTGCACCTTTGAATGAACTTGTTAAGAAGCATGTTATTTTTAAATAGGGTGAATCATAAGAAAAGGCTTTTAACACCCTAAAGGAGAAATTAACTAATGCACCACTATTGTGTTTGCCTGATTTTAATAAAATTTTTGAAGTGGAATGTGATGCTTCTGGAATTGGTATTGGTGCTGTTTTGATGCAAGAGTCTAGGCCTATAGCTTACTTTAGTGAGAAATTAAGTAGAGCTTCCTTGAATTACTCTACTTATGATAAGAATTTCTATGCTTTGAAAAGAACTTTGGAAACTTGGCAGCATTATCTTTGGTCCAAGGAGTTCATTATTCATTCTGACCATGAAAGTTTGAAGTTTCTAAAGTCTCAAGGTAAGCTTAACAAGAGGCATGCTTGTTGGTTGGAGTTTATAGAGAACTTTTCATACATGATCAAGCATAAGCAAGATACAGAGAATATTGTTGCTGATGCTCTTTCTAGGAGGTATTCTCTTATTACTTCTCTACATGCTAGGTTACTTGGATTTGAACTGTTGAAAGGATTGTATAATTCTGATTGTGATTTTTCTAAGATTTGGTCTTCTTGTGAAAAGCATGGATTGAATGACTTTTACATATATGATGGGTTTCTTTTTAAGAAAAACAGATTGTGCATTCCTAAATGTTCTATGCGTGAATTGCTTGTCAAAGAAACTCATGGTGGTGGTTTGATGGGTCACTTTGGTATTAATAAAACTTTAGCTCTTTTGCATGAACACTTTTATTGGCCTGGTATGCGCAAAGATGTTGTGTCTGTTTGTGCTAAATGTGTGATATGTAGGCATGCAAAGTCTAAGGTTCAACCTCATGGTTTATATTCCCCTCTACCTGTGCCTTCCCAACCTTGGGTAGATATTTCTATGGATTTTGTGTTGGGCTTGCCTAGGTTTCAATCTGGGAAAGATAGCATCTTTGTTGTAGTGGATAGATTTAGTAAAATGGCTCATTTTATTGCTTGTTCTAAAACAAATGATGCTGTGCATATTGCTGACTTGTTCTTCAAAGAAATTGTTAGATTGCATGGATTGCCTAAAACCATTGTGAGTGATAGGGATGTAAAGTTTCTTAGCCATTTTTGGAGGACCTTGTGGAGTAAGTTTAGAACTAAGTTGCTGTTTTCTACTGTGGCACATCCCCAAACGGATGGGCAAACTGAGGTCATCAATAGAACACTCACTACCTTGTTACGTGCAATAATTCAAAAGAACTTGAAGAATTGGGTCAACTGCTTGCCTCATATTGAATTTGCATATAATAGGGCTATTCACTCTTCCACTTCTTTCTCTCTATTTGAGATTGTTTATGGCTTTAGGGGGTGTTTGGATGAAGCAAAACCATGGTTTGCAGAATAGCTTCTGGAGAATAGATTCTGGAAAGAATAGATTTTGAAAGAATAGATTTTTTGGAAAAGTGATTCTGATAAAGTGAGAGTGTTTGGATAATTATTGTCAGAAGTGTTTTTTGATATGTAGAAATTACTAAAAAGGACATAAGTTTAAATGATAATTACATATAAGATATATTTCATAATATATGTTTATTTGAAGTAATAAATTTATTAATAATATATATTTTGGCAACATAATAAATATGGCATAAATAATATAAATAATAAGAAATTAGTGTGTGTATATATTAATAAAATAAATAAATATGTTTTTAGGAAAATGATTTATTTTGCTAAAGAAAATATTATTATTTCACAAAATTAAATAACCACACAAAAAAAAATTCATATTAATTGTCTTAATAATAGAGGTTGCAACGAAATATATTTGTTCAAGTAGGTTTTTTTAACAACACATTACATTATCTGAAAAGAAAAAAGAAAATAAAAAGGACATAACTATTCTTGTATGTAGTGAACAATTTGATCTCTTATAGAGTCACGAAGCCGAGCCATGTGAGATGAAGAATCTACTGATGAAGGTATATGTGAAGATCCAACTCCATCATCATCATTTTCTTCTACATAAGAACCTTCTTGTTCAAACTCAATGAAACCAGGATCAGAAATGGATGTTGATCTAATGAAGTTATGTATGGCCATCGTTGCACAAACAATTTGAACTTGTGTTGAAAAGTCATAGCTCGGCATGTTTCCTAAAATTGCAAACTTACTCTTCCAAACTCCAAAAGTTCTTTCGATAGTGCTCCGTAGACTTGAGTGCAAATAATTGAACGCCTCATTATCATTTTCAAGTGCAGATGACCTTCGGAAATCAGGAAGATGGTAGCGTTCACGTCTGTAGGGACCAAGGTATCCCATGGGTGTCGGATAGCCAGCATCCACCAAATAATATTTGCCTACATGAAATATATGATTGGTGTCAATAAAATTTGTTTTCTAACAGTGAAGCATAAATAAATTGTAGGAATTTAAAATATACCTTGAGGCGGATGGGGAAAGTTCATGGAAGGAGTTGTGAGGGCGTGGTCAAATATACGAGCATCATGCACTACCTTCCCATCCGGCTAATACAAAAGTGAAGCACATGTCCCAATCGCAAACCGCCATTACATTTTGCGTCACTCTTCCTTTCCGGTTAATAAATTTTGTTTGCTCAGTTGCATCAACAATGCATGAAATATGTGTTCCATCAATTGCTCCAATAGCATGTTTGAAAAAGGGCCAGTATCGACCACCGGGCCGTATTTTTGTATGCAAATGCTGAAACGTTGGATCTTTTGGTTTGATGTTGGTAATAGCAAGTCTACAGCAAGCCAGTAAGACATTATGAAAATGTCTACTAATTGTCTCCCCTGAATGCTGAAATCTTTCTTGCTGCATCCTACTACTAAGCGCATGGCCAACGGTATTTAAAAACATTGCAACCATTTCATGTATCCCAACATTTCTAGTTTCTCTTAGACCGTGTTGTTGCAATTCTGTGCAAAGACTAAAGAACACTTCCCTTTCCATCCTAAACATGTTATAACAACGATTGGAATGGCCTTGTAAAACGTCCCTTACCCATACCTTGCCTGTATAAATACTTGTATGCTGGGGCTCTTTACACAAATGAAGAGAAGCATATCCACCAACCGCTACTGCAACTTGATTAACCCGTTTGTTCCGTCGTTTACGATACTTTTCCGCAATTTTAATTTCATCAGCCATTTTTTGTCTTGTCCTGTGCACATAGACATAAAATTCAGAAACCCTGATAAGAAATTACTTAACATTTAACAAGAAAATAAGTTGTTTAATTCCTACAGAAATTAAGTAGTCACATAATACATAAAAATAGATACAAATGATCATAGTCATCTTCTAAGTCACATAAAAATAGATACAAATTATCACAGTCATCTTCTAAGCAACATAAATGAAGTCTCAATCCTTAGTTGCATGCTTCAAGAAGATCAGTAGTTTTTCCCTCTTGTTCTTCAGAGCCACATACATCTCCCTTGCAGCTGGCTTATCCATAAGAAGTGTTGTGCACCGGCCAAACAGATCAGGATCATCAACAATTTCATCAACTTCATTAAGGTGCTCCATGACTCCCGCAATTGACGTCTCATAAGCACGTGCTTCTTCTTCTAGCTTCCTAGCACGTGCTTCTGAAATCTCTTTATGTTCACGCTGAGAATCATTTTCATTTGCCTGAGCTATCCTGCTTAGTGCATCCGCTATTTTCATAGTGGTAGTAGATTTCTTCTTCATGGATTCACCCTTTTTTCTAACTCCTAATGAGCTACTAGGTCGACTGCCACCTGTGCTTCTACCCCCACGAATGGTTTCCTGTCTCATTCCAGTGTTGCCTCCACTTCCTCCACTATTGTCATTGAATGTGACTGAATTAAACTCCCCGCTTATGCCAGTTGGTGCCCCCAAAATTTCATCACTATCTCCAGATCCTTCTTCCATATCATTTTCAGGAACTCCTTCGCTTGGAAGTGTCATGGAAGAAGGTGCCCATGACTGTGGTCCAGTCGCAGCTACAGACCCAAAGAGTTGAGTCAATTCAGCCCGAAATTGAAGCCTTCTTTCTCTAAATTTCTCATAGCCTGGAACTTCCTGCGCATTCAACACCAAAAATATTATACATTATACAAAAAACGTTAACATGGGAGAAAATACAAGCTCAAATAAAATTAAATGATTACCACTATTTTCTTCTCCCACCAATCATCAGGGGCACTAACAGTATTCCTTTCGGCATCCCACCCTAAACCTGTCTCACGGAGCAGCCTATCCCATAACTGCCACTCCTTTCGCAAGGTATCATATTTGTTCTTTAATTGGATTTTCGTATAAACTCTCCCAGTCTTTGCAGTAAAGTTCTCCTCAATACTTGTCCAAGCAGGCTTTGTCAAGCTAGTTCCTCTTCTTCCCCCCTTTTCAACTTCTTCAATACACAGGTCAATAAAGACCTTTGTGGCTCTTATATCCCACGAAGCTTTGCCATTTTTTTTATTCATTATGCTATAAACCAATTACAACAGTTCAGTTATCACAAATTTAACCCAAAAAGCATACCATTCAGTCCAGGAGATATGATATAATAGGATAGTATTTAACAAGTATAGCGGCGTGTTCTATAATCCAACGGTATACATACACATTAATAATTATTTTTTTTCCCAGCATCCAGGAGAATTCATTTCGGTTAACTGACCCAATTTGGCTACAACCAACGATCAAAATCCCATACATATAACACTGCAAAAGCAACCATCAAGCACAAAAGAAAAAAATTCGACCGTCCTGTCTCCGAAATAAAATCGACCAAACGGAAAATTTGATCAACACCCACTAAATGCTCTGTCTCTCATACACACATGAAGCACAACCAGTCACAACCGAGATCTTTCCCATCGTATACACACACATGATTACCATCAAACAAAATCAGCCTCTACAAGTGAACATAGCATAGGCAACCGGTGAAACCAACATCTGATTCGGAAGAAAAAAATGACGTTGACGGAACCTCTGTTTCGGGGAAAAAAATGACGCTTCACAGAATTTCTAATGCACCAGATCTCCAGCCACAATGATCGACGGAAGAAGACAGCTTACCGGAAGGAGTTGGATTGACCGATGGAAGAAGACACTGCGACCAGAGCTTCGAAAGGGGCGACGGTGGAAGAATGAACTGACTTCAGATGAACTGACCAGCGACGATACCGGAAATGGAAGGCTTGGATCAGGCAACCCAATACGCGATCTTCTTCTCGGGGCCGAGAAACACCTCGTCGGCACTGAAATTCCTTAGCGGTTCACGATCTCATCGATGGGATGAAGAGGCGACGGCACAGCACGAATGGGACAAAAGGCGACAGCACAGGAGAACCGATTTCTTCAGCAGGGGCGACGGCATAGGAGAAGGGAAATCTTCAGAGCAGTGGGAGAAGGGGCGACGGAATGGGAGAGAAGAGGCCGAAGAATGGGTCTTGACCGTGAGCTGAATGAACCCCGCGTGCTTGTTCCCTTCACCGTGGAGCTGACCGTTGAGCCTTTGTTGGGGAGAGCCAATAATTGAAGCCAATATATTCCCTTATCTGGAAACCGTGAGCTGAGAATTGAACCCTCGCCTGCTTATATTGAAACTGAGGTTTTGTTGGGCAAAACCAAGGTTTTGCCCAAAACCTTGGTTTTAAAAAAAATGGGGGTGTTTGGCAAATTTTTTGCCAAACCATGGTTTGGCAAAAAAGCCAAACACCCCCTTAATCCTCTATCTCCTTTGGATATTCTGCCTTTGCCTTCTAGTGAACGAGCTAACCTTGATGGCAAGAAAAAGGCTGAGTTTGTGCAGAAATTACATGCTAAGGTGAGGGCCAACATCGAGAGAAAGAATGAGCAATATACAAAGCAAGCTAACAAAGGTCGTAGGAAGGTTGTCTTTGAGCCTAGAGATTGGGTTTGGATACACTTGCAAAAGGAGAGGTTTCTAGAACAATGAAAGTCTAAGTTGCAGCCAAGAGGAGATGGCCCTTTCCAAGTCTTGGAGCGAATCAATGATAATGCTTATAAAATAGATTTGCCTAGCTCCTATGGTAATGTAAGTGCTACATTTAATGTGACTGATTTATCTCTCTTTGATGCTGCAGATTTGAGGACGAATCCTTTTGAGCAGGGAGGGAATGATAAAGGAGCGTGGCATGATCAAGCATCAAAGGAAGACCAAAACACGGAGCGTGGAGCCCAAGCTAAAAGATGGAAGTCCAATATTCTAAAAGACCCATTACAAGGCATTGCAGGCCTAATGATAAGAGTAAGGACCAAATCTATGAAAGAGGCGCTGAATTGTTTGATAAAAGATCTTAAAGAGTTAGAGCCCATTTATTTGGAAGAAGCATCCCTCAATCAGCCCATCAAGGGTCCAAACATGGTGATTACATTGCTAGAAGCCAAACAAGATGATGTACAAGGCTCATGTGCAGTCCAGATTGAAGAATTCACTCAAAATACCATGTGACAAGCATGTGCCTTGGAGGAGGAGCATAAGTGACGTCCAAGAATATTCAAGAAGCATCAAGAAGGCGTTTTTATCTATTAGTTATGGTTTAATTTCATTTTTTTTAAGTTTCCATTTTTATTTGCATTAAATAAGGCCTTTTGGTCAAAGATTGCATAAGAATATTTTAGGTTAGTTTCCTATTTTTAGGTAACAGCCTTTTTCTTCAAGAAAAGGTAATTTCCTATTTCCTTTAGCCTTAATTGGTGCCAACCAAGATAGTCAATCATCATTAAGGCACATTTATGGCATTGATGACCTAGGGTTTTTTGATTCTAGATTGTTCTTTTGCTGCCTATGTAAGGCTACATTTTTTGTAATTGGGGATCAGATTTGAATGAATGAATTTTAGAGAATTTTATTTCTCTTGAGTGAGCTTTGCTTGCCGTCTCGTATTCTTGAGGGAATACTCGACTGTATCAAGGATTGATCATCCTTGTGGTGTCTCCATGGCTAGGGTTGTAAGAGACAGGTTCTCTTAAGGTCCTACATTCGATCGTTCGTCTAGTTTCCTAACTTGTTTCTAGCCAATTCGTATCTGTACCTTATATCACATATCCTATTCAAAATATAATATATGATGTTTCGGTGGGTGTCAATGTTTCCTTCTATGTCTTCTACTCAAAAGAAGCAATATCACCTCAAAATGAGGGGTCTATATGAGGATTAATGTAAAAAAAAAATCATGGAATTGCTTGGCACTTCATGTATGCCTTCTTAGAGTTGCAGAAATATAGTGAACAGCTCTGGAAATCTGTCTTTCAAATATTCTACATGTGATTTAAGCTTGCCATATTTCCTTTAAAAAAATTAACAAAGTAAAAGAATATTAAACGTAGATATGTGTGTGTGTGTGTGTGTATGTTAATATATATATTATTAATTACTTTTAAAACATATTTAAAATTTTTACTTGAAGATCTGTAGGCTAACTCTCAAGATGAGAATATAAATTTCTATTATAACACACCAGGTCAATAATAATGTTCGAATAACAAAGTCTTCTTCCACCACCACCACCATCATCTATCTAAAATATTTTTTGAACAATGGATCCATGGTGTCCCAACATGGACTTTTGCTAGCCCCAATAACTTTATGCCACTTGTTATTAAGACCATTACAAGCATTAATATTTTCTCCTTTCTAACACACAAAGTCACTAACCATGTATAAAAATGTCAACGCTTCTTTGGGAGTCCAGAATAAAGGATGTGATATGACTTCATTCATTCTAATCCTAAAAACCATTAAAACACATTTTATTTTTATAGTGAAAGTTCTATACAAATTATACCAAAATTTATTTTTGTCATGTCCTTAATCAGGCTTCTAAGCTCATCCCTGGTTGAGAATTCATTCCAATATTTCCCATGACCTTCTAGGATATTCTTTTAGCAGTAGCTTTCCTCCTCAAACAAGTATTTCTAAATAAAGATGTACAACAGCAAACAATCTAAGTCAAACACATCAAGGTTAGAATCTTGTATTGTCAAATCCAACTCTAATTGAGTAAGAGCACAGATGTAGAAGGCAGCCTTAGTTCCTCAAATTGTTGAGGAGCTCGCAACATATAGCTTGGCCCGTCACTCCTTTATATGACTATTTGTGTCATGAAAATAATTTAATTATTAGTTAACGTAGCTAATTGTATAAAAACAAAATTTACTGTTATAATACCTACAAATATGATTCTAGGCAATAGCTCTATCAGACTCATCTAATTTGAGTTATTTTATCGATTTGCTAAAATCACAAATCTTGACAATAATAGACTTATCTTCTAATATCGGTATGGCAATATTCCATGGATTTAGATTTTCATGAATTATGCTTAACTTTTGCATCTAGAAAACCTCTAGGACCATTCTTTTGCACAGCAAAAGAAAAAAATAAATATTAAGAATTCAAAACAAATAAAAATACATGAAATAATTTAAATAATTAAAGAAAACTTTACAGATTTCATCACATTTTTAGCAAATTTTGTAAGGTGCCTCGTCGAAAGTCTCTCTGAATTTTTTGTGATACAAAGAAATATGTCTAATATGTGGGTAAATGGTTCTAAGACCAAATACTGAGATGGAGTAAAATAGGTATGCAACTGTATAAGATTTATGTGCCCTTTACATGATCTTATAATTTCTAGTTGTTCATCAATATTATTATTATCATCATCTTCTATAATATTTATGCAGATGTCATATGCCTTTAATTTTCCTCTAAATATACTAAGATGAAGCATTCACAGATCTACAACTATCAATGGCACCAATTGATCTCTTATATCTAAACCTGTAAAAAAAATTGAATATGAGGTAAAGGATTGCAAGAAAGAGGAGCAACTATTTTTCGAATGCATAATAAAAAGCTAAGAACAATCATGTCCAGTTTAGTATTGTAACTTTTTCAATTTCTTTGTCTCTATGACAACAAGTTAGTTAAAATAAATGAAAGCATAGGAAAATGGAGCAGACAAAATATGATTTGAACATAAGATATCACCAGGCACTCAAACTTGGACTTTCTCAAAATGATATTTTGGAATTGTAAATTAGTAGCTATGTTTAATCCCTCGCTACAAATATGTGCAATAATATTAATGAAATAATGGGAAACAAAATCTTATTTGAAATTTATTCTATTAGAGAAATTCATTTTAAAAAGCAAAGAAAACAATAGAAATGAGATATAATAATCTTATGCTTGTGAAGAGGTTAGCATCCAAATATAATTTATTAGCAAAATTGAAAAGATAGAATGGACTCATAAAACAAATAAAACAGGTCATATTATTGGCATATTATAAATTTATAATGTACACATATACTTTAGCGAAGAAAAAATTATACGTGTCTTACTAATATTGGAGGGAGAATGCAAATTTCTTATGAATATCAAATTGCATATCTTCTAGTATGTGCATTTGAGTAGTCTGTTAAGTGTAACTACATAAACATTTTGCGCATTGCCAATAATAAATCATGAGTTGCATAAAGCACTAAACTATAATTTCATAAATTTATTTATCTAGGAATTTCTTATATTATACTTGAAGTGAGGAATTACTTTTCTCAAAAAATTAAGGGAAAAAACCCACATCATGTATAATGGTTAAACATGTCATATTATATAGCATACTTTCTCCCTCATATTGATATTTTATAATTATTTTAATTTCATATTTAATAATTGTTCAATAAATATCACATGAAAAATTTTATTGCAAAAGCTTTGTTTACTTTAACATGACACCCCTTCTTTGTTCACTATCAAGCAATTGAGAAGATAAAATTTCTTCATCACTTTCTGATGAATACAATTAAAATAATGATATGCAAACTGCATATGTATAACT